CACAATCACGTGAAATCAATGGGGCCCATGCACAGACCTCCAAGTCGAAATTAAATCTTGTCAGACAAACAACACATCAAACCCATCCACCCCCCGACCCCCCAATAATTATTATTACATTACTTCAAAAAAGAGTATATTTTTCCATGCATAAATCAAATTTTCATTTTGTCTTTTTTGTCTTTTTTTCCTTCTTCGTAAAGTACATTTGAACACGTAAACACATGATAAATACTCTCGTAAGACATGACTCGCAGAAAAAAGAACACATCCCCAAAGCAAAGGGTATTAGTATTACTTGTGATTTTTAAAGGACTTGTTTAAATATGAAATCTGTAAACTCCAAGGAACCTTCATTTCTCGCTCTCTTTCTCTCTCTCTTTTTTTAAAAAATCATGAAACTAGCCAGTTTTTCCTTTCCTTCCCAAACATTCAATATGTCTCCCCATTGAGCATGTCAACATAATCACATGCCATCTTCTGCAAAATTATAATTTAAGAGTATAAAGCTTCAAGTTGCAAATTCCAAAAACTAGCTAAGTAATTATTATTATTATTATTATTTTTGTCACATAAACTATACATTAAATATTTTTGAGGTATTTCAGAGAACATTGTCAAATACTTGCCTGATTTGTGCTGGATTGAGAGGTGGGTTGGGTGGCGGTTGATTTTTTTGGGTTTTTCCTCCTGAGTGGAGAACATCTTTGGTATCAACAAGCCATTTGGGTGTTGGGTCAAAAGTGGGGCAATTTAACTTGGGAAAGAGGCGATCTGGTGGAAAGATGGGTTGGGCATTTGTGGTTGGGGGGAAAGTATGGATCAGATTGTTGGCTAGCTAATTGCCAGAATTTGGGAGGTACCAGGTTGCTCTAAAACCTTGGGGGGGGGTGACTTTTGTACCCCACACCAGATCCAGCAGATGGCAGAGTATAGGGCAGGAACAAGACCTAAGGAACAATCTGAGCTCCAGCTTGGAAAACAAGGCAGCAGGTTCACAGGCCTCCTTTCGAGTCCTTGCATGAAGCAAAGTACCCAAGGATTGTGCAAGGTGGAGAGCAGAAGGCCCGTCTGTCTGTCTGTCTGTCTGTCTGTCTGTCTGTCTGTCTGTCTTGTCAGCATACAAGAGGCTATGAAAGACCACTTGGTAAAACTTGCACGTACGGCTTAGCTGGAGGGGAGAGCCGCACGTGTGAATACTTTACTGTGGGCTTAGTCTTGCTTTTAAACTTCTTGCATTTAGAAAGCTGCCAAGACAAGGAAAAGGACAATTGGTGGTCCTTCTTGCCCAGCATTCTGGCTGTTCCATAGGCAGGAAGTTTCTCTGACAGCAAGACTCATGCGCCCATTTAATTCCAGCTCCCCTCTTAACGTCCCTCTTTCACTGGGGACAGGTTGGTCATAAACTCCCCACCCTTTCTAGCCCTTGCTTGTCTGGTTTGAAGCCACACATCCCCTGGGTTTTCCAAGTGTCACACACTCATGCTCATTTTGGGTCCTTCGCCAGGTTGTCTGCCCCATCTTGTCCATTCAGCTGGCACACGGAATAACTCTGCACACAGCGGCATGCCAATGCACTGACGTTGCACACACACGAGCTTGCACATTGGAGTGGGAACAGGATACAGGGAGGTGGGAACGGGATATGGGAGAAACGGGGATTGCCTACAGAAAGCAGATTTCTGTCCCATCACCCAAAGGCTATGAGAGTTGCAAGAATCCATCTGATTTACGAGAACTGAGGTAATAGTGTATGAATTTATAGGACAAAAAAGTGGAAAGAAATGGTTTACACCTTTGGTACAAGAAAAAGGCACTCTTCGACCACTCGAACAATCATGTTCGTTCTCTCTCTCTTTCTCTCTCTTTCTCTCTCGCTCTCTGGGAGGGCTGGGAAAAGCAGGAGTTTTTAGGGAGGAAATGACAGGTTTTTGGGAACTGTAACAGTGGTTCCAAGGGACTACGGAAGGGTGGTTGCTGGGTAGAAAGTCCAGCACAAACCAGGCAAGGAGAACAAAATCTTTGGTATCAGATGTGATTTTCAAATCACAAAAATCGAAAACTCAAGTGAGGTAGCCTGTATTTTCTGGTTCTCACTAAAAATGTCTTTGCATGTTCAGGGCCAGTTGCCATTAGAACTTATCCCTTTCTTTTTCTTGTGGTGTTCTTTTAGCCAAGCTCAGGCCCTCTTCTTTTCTTTCTCTTTTTCATTTTCTTTCTTATTTTTTGGTGGCTTCGCAGCCATTGAATGCGTCACAAAATCAGGTATGGGAATCTACCATCCACTTCCACTGTTGGTTAGCATCAACGCATCACGACAAGACAAGAAGTCATGGTGGGGTGGGGGGGGGACACTTGTAGGGGGTGGCCACTGGGTGAGGGGAGAGAAGGTTTGAGCTTTTTTGTTTTCCTCCCTTTCTATCCTCTCCCCCCTTTTTTGGCAAAACATACCTTGGCATTTGCTACGTTCCCTCTTCCGGCTTGGTTTTCTCTGTCATCTTTGGTTGCTCCAGCCATCTTACCCATTATATCCCACACCCCGATGGCCACGCCCCATATCCTAGGCTGGGACATCATCTTTTTTGACATAAGGAAATATTAACATAGTTGTTTCCTGATTTCCTTCCTCCTTAAAGAATTGTAATCCAATGGTATTCTCCGCCCCACTTTTGCATTCTAAAAGGTGCCTTACTGTCGTTTAACACATTGTCTTCCATGTAAAGTGATCGCAAAAAACCATTGCGCAAAGATGGTTCTCTGTTACCCGCATCAATTTGATATTGTCCCATTAAAAAACAACAACAACAACAGCAACAACACACACACACACAAAGAATCCCATGTTTACCAGGGAGGTAAGGAGGCTGAGCTCCTTCTGTACAGAGCCTTCTTAACCTCCTTTCTTCTAACCCTCCCAGGCAAAGCAGAGGATAAACTTGGCCAGCCAGACACGGGAAACTTGATTCGTGGTAGCACATCTGGTCTGATTGGCCGTGTCATTTTTGCCTTGACTTGCACTCGTGATTCGTGGCACCAGTCAGGATCTTAGAAATGCTCCTTCCAGAGCCAAAGAGGAGTACCATCGTGTATCTTTCTTGTATTTTTAAGGCAGGCTGTTAATTGGCACACACACAAAAAATAGTCAGTTATCTTTCGTACGTTGCCAGAGATCTTTTGAGCTTTTTGCAGAGTTTATTACTCTGGGGTTTGGGAGCTGGGTTTTCTCTTCTTTCGCTCTTCCCCCTGCCACGCTCAAGGTCGATCGGTATTTAAATATATCTGCATTATCTATTTTGCAACCAGATTCAGAATTCTGCTGCCACCCAACCCAAATTTCCCAATCTGATTTCTGTTGTGTTTATCATTTCTATCCCCTCTGCCCTCCTTGCTGGGAATACAGACAAGGAAAGGAGGCAGACCATGGAGTTAGTGGGTATTCTGGAGAAGATGGACAGAATCATTCCAGTTTGGGGCTGGCCTTTGGAATGGAACCAATATCAAATAGGTCAGCTGCTAATCCAGTGTTTGGGAAAGAAAGCTCAGCTCCTACTCTTCTTTCCTCTGATTTCTTTTAAAGCTTTTTTTTCAATACCCGATTTATGTACCTAAAATGTGCTTCGTGACCCGCATTTTCTCTAGGTGACACAGTGCAACTTAGCTTTGGATCCCCCGCTACTGATTCAAGGGGGGAAAGATGGGGCAATCTTTCACAAGAGTTTCTGCTCCCCAATCCATACTTTGGCTAAGAATTCCCATAAGAGGAATTATCAAAGAATAAGTGGTCTTCTCTCTCGTTGAATTTTGTTTTGGTAAATTCAAACCATGTTGGCATGCACTTAGCGAAACTTCAGTCAGATTTTGTGGGGATTGCCTGCAGAGTGATTTCTTCAGTTAGTGGGGTTGTTGAGAACAGAATGTGAGAAAGGGTGTTGAGCTGGGGGAGGAATGGATGAGGTCAGAAGGTCTGATGGTTTAAGGATGCTTTTTGGAATGGATTTCCATGCCTTTTACCGGTTGATGCTATGAATGCTCTAGACAAGATTGGGTTTAAAATCTTTCCCACACCACATGGGCAACCTTGGATCATGAACTGAGAAATATCTTTAAATCATTTTCAAACGTATGGTCACCAATGCTCCTCGCTACTCCTAGCCAATAATGGCTTTTCTCCAGAGGAACCATGAACAATTCCCATGCAGCTCAGTTCTGCACCTTTTTCCTCATTGGAAAGGACTTTTATTGACTTTGAGATAATGGCCCTTGCTTGAAATGGGGTGAGTGGGGGACCAAATATTTTGCGCCTGAGAGGCATCCCAGAATGCAAGATCCTATGCACAATGCATTTGTCTCTTGCTGGCATTGACATACCCACAGTGAAGATAATGAACCGAGCTACTAGGACTGAAAGCCCAGAGATGGAAGGAAGCAGGTCTCGGAGAGGGACTGATATAACTGCATCTCAGTTTAACTCTACCAGATTAATATGGGAACATGGCCATCTGGTTTGTTGCCCTCCCTGCAAAATTTCAGTGATGGGCTGTTTTGAAGGTTTGTACCATACACTTGCTCCTTAAATGGCCAGAATACCCATTGGTCATCTGCCAAGTGATGTTCACTCCCATAACAATGACTTCAAAGCATGCTTCCTTGAAAACATCTCTAAGTAATGTCTCCCCCACCAACAAAAGTATGTAACACTCTATGACCTGGTGTTTATGGAAAGGAGGGTGGCTCTTTGGCTAAACCAAAGGCTTACGGGGTATGGATGAGATGGGGTGAGGAAATGCCCTTCCACAAGATCCCTTGTGAACTTTGAATGCAGGATGAGGTCGGGTCGATTGAACCAGAGAGGTTGTGACACAGTGGGCAGCTGTGAAGTGCGCATGGCTTGTGGCTGCATTGTGTGTGGGGGAATGGGAATGAACACATGGGGAAGGGAATGAGCGCTTTGTTGTGTGGAGTTGAGGGGGTTGTGGGGTGGGGTGAGGGTAGCTGAAAGATCATGCTTTGGAAAAAGTGCTTGTGGACGAGGAAGGGACTCCCGGGTTGGTCCCTGGCTCTTCCTGCCAGCGGTTCATACACCGTCGGCGAGCATTCATGAAGAAGTTGCTGACGGTGTTAAGCTCCAGGCCCAGCTGCTGCGAAATGGTCATTTGCATCTCCTTCGAAGGGCGCTTGTTCTCCTTGAAGATGGCAATCAGGGTGCGGCGCTGGAGGTCCGTGAAGACCAGCCGCTGCTTCTTGGGTTGCAGGTTCCTGTCTTTTTGCTGTTCTTGTTCTTTACGTTTGCACGCTACACATTTTTAAAGAAGAAAAGAGGGGGACAAAAGAAGAACATTGCTATCAAATGGATGCAAGCCATGGCTTCTTCCAGCTTTTCTACTCCCACAATAAGCAGACACCTCAGTGGGGACAATATTTTGTGGAAATTTGTTTAGCATGGGGACAATATTTTATGGGTGAGCTACAGTCTGAAAGTCTGAAACAGCACTGTCCCATCCACAAGCTGTGAAGTGGTGGGGAGGGGGGTGAAAGACTGTGAAACCAGAGGTTATGGGAGCCAGCGTGACCCCATCCCTTTTGACCCAGGAACCCCAGCAGTGCTTCGAACCTCCAGATCATCTTGGACTACCACCTTCATCTGCTCCAGCCAGCCTGGATGCTGTGAATATGGGAGAAACCTGTCTGGGAGTACGGAATCCAGATGATTCCCTGGGATCGGTTGATCAGACTGTGCTGCAGCAGCTGAGTCCCATTTCCTGGTGAGCACGCCCCACAACATTTCTGGGCCAGGAATCAAGCCCCACAGGCCTGTATGAGTCTCAGACACCTGCTAGCGGCAATCCTCTTCCGTTCCACATGTCATGCCTGCTTGGGCTGCTTCAGAGGACATGGAGGACGGGTTTTATACAGGGGCCGCCAAGCTCGGAGCTCCATGAGACTCATCCAGCCCTGCTGGAGAGTGTGTCCTCCTGAGGAGCACCAGCTGGGAGCCCTGGGGAGGAGCCATGGAAGAGCAAGCTCTTCCCCTCCAGAACCGGCCTCAGCAGCACAGGTCCCTCACCCAACGCACGTCATACGTGTCTTCCCTCAGCATTACAGGGCTCCCTGTTGATGTTGTACCCTGCATCTTGCTAGGCCTTTCTCCTGCCTCACTGTCTCACCACAGCAACAGGGACTTTCCCCTGGCTGTCAGCAACTCACTTCCCCTAACACTACTGCTCTTGGTTCCTGTTGTCTCCTGCCTTGCTGGGTTTACTGCTCACTTGCAGAATCCTAGAACAGTAGAGTGGGAAGGGGCCATGAAGGCCATCAAGTCCAGCCCCCTGCTGTTGCAGGACACCAGTTCACACCACCCCACTCAGGCGGCTGGTCAGAGGCTTTCTGGATGTCTCCAGCGAGGGGGAGCCCACAGCCTCCCCAGGTAACGGGTTCCAGTGTCATACTGCTCTGACAACAAGGAAATTCTTCCTGGTGTCCGGTCTAAATCTCTTTCTTTTAACTTAAGCCCATTATTCTATGTCCTGCACTCTGGAATGAACAAGGAGAGATCTTGACCTTCCTCTTTGCGGCAGACTTTGAGGGACTTATAGAGGGATCTCATGTCCCCGCTCAGCCTCCTCTTCTCAAGGCTGAACCTGCCCATTTCCCTCAGTCTCTCCTCACAGGGCAGCGTTTCCAAACTCTGCGTCATTTTTGTTGCCCTCCGCTGGACCCTTCTAGCTTTTCTGCATCTATTTTAAACTGAGGTGCCCAGAACTGGGCATAGGATGCCAAGGGAGGCCTGGCCAGTGCTGAGTGCAGTGAAACTAGTAATTTGTGTGTTTCACTTAACTTGCCTCATGATACTCGTCTGTTTGGCTTCCAGGTTCTGGACCTCAGCCTGAACCATGACTAAGACTTAGACTTACTTACTGGGTTTGTTTAGAGCGGCTCCTTAGCATCATGTTCTTGCCACTAAACCTGGCTTTGGACACGGGTGCCTTGGTCTTATCTCTGACCTTCTGCATCTCAGGCCTGGGCCCTGGACCATTTGTTTCGAGAGCATTTGTAGGCCCTCCCTCTCAGCTTGGCCTGTGGGGCAAGACCTAGCCGGACATGAGCAGAAGCCCCTGAAATGCTAGAGGGAGAGGCCTCGATCCTACAGGTAAGCTGTAGTTCAAAATATCTGGAGAACACCAGGGTGCTGGCTGCATAGCATAATTCAAAACCCAATCAGAAAAAGCCCCTCTTAAAAAATGGGGCCCCGCCAGCCAGAACATCGGCACATGGACACCAATGCTGACCCAAGCTGAGCTGAGGGTGGTTTCGTCTTTCACCCCCTCAAACTTCTCCCAGTTTCAAGCTGGACATCCTGTATAAAGAACGTTTTGCTCAGCTTTGGTCTTCCACCCACCCACTTACATCCATCTGGAAAGACACAAATGTTTCAGAAGAGGGATGGCTGCTTCTTGTACCCTCGCCATGCAAAACAGGTTCAGTGAGTTTTTGCATTGCTTCAAAAGCCTGCAAACCTGTTTGACTAGAGGCCACAGTGGAAATAAAAGGAATTCATGTGTGCACCATAGAAAGCTGCCTTCCAGTGACTTTAAATTATGTTTCAAATGGTTTCCTGTCTCCAGGTTTCATCTTCTTTAATAGAAGAATGAATTTTAATTGATCGGCACTGCAGACTTCTGCACAGTGACTCAAAGCTACTTTCCCTTCAGTTCAGTGGTCAGTGTGCACAGGATTATAGTGTCAGGAACCTTGTGCGGTTTGTGTAGCTCAATGGAAACCCCAGCAGAGGAATAAAAAACCTACCCTATGGCCATCAGATGCTTGCAAAGAAAACAAACAAAAATAAACATAACAGTAATATTGTCTTTAAAAAAATACCAACATTTTAGAAGGAATGCTAAGAAAGGAAAAAAGACCAAAACAAAGACACAGATTTGCAAATTAAAACTTGGATCAAAGCATTTGCCATTGTCAAAGAATTGTTCATTTGCACTTCCTTCCCACCCCAACCCTCCCCATCGCAGAGGCATTTAGGAGTAACCAAATGCTACCAGCAAAAAATGGAAGCTGTTCAGCAAACCCAGTAAGAGACACATGTTTGGGTGATGCGGTGTAGTCCTGGCGGTCACACCCACAAAGCTGAGGTGGGTCCAGTGGAAGGGCTCTTTAACAACGCCAAGCTTCTCCGCTTAAACATGGGCAAGACCAACCAGCTTGCTAGAGCTTGGGGTGGATGTGACATCTGCCTTTTCCCATATTAGTACCCTCACACCACAATCCGCACGTCAGGTCTTTCTCCAGGTAGCCCTCTGCGGAAATTTCAGACCATAACAACAAGGGGAGGGGCCTTCTCGGTGTTGGCCCCCTGACTGTAGAATACTTTCCCTGGAGAAACCCACATGGTTCCAGTGATGCCATATTTCTGGCACCAGTTTAAGTCTTTCCTCTATACCCAGCCATCGGATGGTGTGTGTTTTTTCTTTAAAAATGTTTTACAGGGGCCATTATTTTATTGTTAGTCACTTTTAGCTGCCTTACATTTTTCTAGGTTTCCCAGGGTTTTATTTGTTGCTATAGAACACCTTCAGCCTTTTTCTTGAAAACTATGACTAAGAAATTTAAATCAAAGATCATAAAACCTTATATTTGGTGCTAGGTTTAGATTTTCTTCCAATCCCAGTCACTTGATAGCATACGAAAGTTTTACCGGCCCTAATGTTCATTTTATAAAATGGTTAAATTGTTGTATGTAACTGGCACTCACCATTACGGGGGCCTGAGCTCTAATTAAAATGTTTCACTGGGAGGATGGGTATATCTTTGACAAACACTCATTCTAGGTACTTAGTCTGCAAACATAAAAATATATCTTTGAATGGAATGATTCTTCCACCTCCATAGATTCCAAAACTCACTCATTATGAGATGAATATATTTGCCATAATAACTCTGACATCGTTTGCCCTTTTTAAACATGCATCATTTGAACTGCGCATAGTTTTGCAACATGGAATTGTTGCTTTGTTTTGTCTGGTCAGTGGTCCTGGAAGATACATCAAAACAGTGAAGAGCCAGTATTTTCCTAATAATAGAATCAGCCACCCTGGCCAAAAGGCTCCTTAGATTTTAGAGCCTTAAGAAAATGTTTAGTATCAGAAATTAGATGAATGTTTAAGAAAAGTGGGCATAAACATTTTCTTCCATGGACTGTGCCCAGCTCACAGGGCTGAAGGCAGAAGAAACGAGATGGTGTGGTTTTATTTTATTTTTCGGGCACCTGAGAACTCGTTCATTTTTTGAAGGATAGATCTATAAAAGGAGGGCAGCCTGACAGCCAGATCCAATTCATAAAAGCCCTGGGGTACATTCCCATGGTGGGCAGAAAGCAAAAGCACAAAGCCCCAAAACTATTCCAGCTTAAAGCGTTTAAGTGCCAAGGTGGTGTATCTGTCGCATGTCAGCTGTGGCAAGGAAATAAAAGGAGAAGACACTTGTCTTGCTTCTTTCTCTCAGGGAGCATTTGGCAATCCTGTGCTGGAGAGAGGAACCAGGGTCTGACAGGGCTTTGGTCTCATCCTGCAGGAATCTTTGCGCTACCAGCCTCCATGCCCATGATGCATACCAGCAGAGACACCTCTGAAACAGACCTGGATCTGTTAGTGTGTGTGTGTGGGGGGGGGGCAATGAAAGCAGTAAACCCACCCACCCAGCAGGCAATTTAATTTTCTTTTACACTTGCTGTGTGTGAAAATCTCAGCCAGGAGAGGTAAATGCCCCCTTTGGGTCTGAGTTCCACCTCTAAAGATGCAGAATCAATCCATTACCAGCACATGTGATGTTCAAATGTGTGTGATGCCACCTCCTTTTTCCCATTCCTGCTTTAAAGTGCACATGTTCAAAAAAATACTCTCCACAGATGTATTTATTTTTAAATATGCGTCCCCTAATGTCTGTGCTTTTAAATGGTGCTACAAGCAACTGATATTTTTCTTCTGCCTTGCCCTCATCTCCCAGAATCTGGTCATGTTTTGCAGCTCCTTTTACGTGCCAAATATGGAAGCAAAAGCAAAGAAAGAACCTGTTTGGAAATGCAGCTTTAATAAAGAAAGAGGTAGGAAGGAATTTTGTCCCAGCATGTCTGATTTCATATCTGAAATTCACCTAAATGAGTTTCTCGCTTCCTGCCTACACCCCTTCCCCTGGGCAGACAATGTTCACAGCATTGTCTTTTCTTCCACCCTTATTTTTAAAAATATTTATAATATTTGGTACATGGCTGTAGATATGCTCCTT